TTTTTTTTTTTTTTTACAATTAATTTATTAATTTTATTGTAAAAAAAAAAAAAAATAGAATCGATCACACGATTTAAAAATAAAATAATCATTATTATCATCATCATCATCATTAACTACACAATACTGATTGTTTTATATCGAATTAATTAATTTCCTTTTATTTTTTGTCATATACACATCACGAAAGCATAATTTTTATTAATGAAGAGTACATAAGTACGTACAATATTATCATTTCATATCTACATTAATAATAATAATAATAATATTATTAATAAAATCATAACTTTTTTAAATAATTGAGCAACGCGACAGCAAACAAACAGTAAAAAAAACTTGTATTGCGATGATGATGGGTGACGTTGACGACGGATGACGACCATGATGAAAAATCATTGTTGTTATCATTGTTATCACCGTAATAATTAGTTAATTATTTAGTATTGAATTAAACCGTGTTGTTTATCCGCATGTTTCAACATTGTAAACTTTCTCGTAAATCCTTTCATGCAATAGGGACAATGGAATTGCGGTCCTTTTCCGCATTCGTATTTAACGTGTCTCCACAACGTGGGACTTTGTGAATATTTTTTACCGCACTTATAACATGAAAATAAACCCGTTTGATTTTTATATAATTTTGACAATGCTTTCAACGTTTTCGGATCAACGCAATCATCCATTTTATCATCATCATCGTTATTATCATCACCACCACAATTAATAATTTTTTTTTTTTTCGTCACTTCTTCGTTTTTCGTCGAGATTTTAGAATCTCCACCGCTTTTTCCACCACCACCACCACCTCCTCCACCGTTATGACCCGCTATAATTTTTTTTTCGTATCCTCCTGAAATATCAATCGAATATTATTAATTAAAAAAAAAAAAAATTTTTCCATCTCTTTCAAATAATTAAAAAAAAAAAAAAAAAAATGATTTAACTTAACTTTTATTATTTTAAAAAAAAGTGATTACTAACTTTTATTATTTGTCAGTCATCATTTGGGCCAAACAAACCAAACAAAAATCTATTTTTTTTTTTTTTTTAATTTTTACTAAATTAATGGGATGGGAACGAAGAATACATTTAAAAAAAAAAAAACATCGAAATTATTTTATATGCATCCATCAACCACATTGATAACTAATTATGGAAAACAAGCAAACACTTTAAGAGCCAAAATAAAAGAAAAAACATTTTAGAAAAAAGAGAGGGGGGGGGAGAAAAAAAAACATCTAAATAATACTTTTTCTTTTCTTTCCCTCTCCCTCTGTTTGTTTGTTTGTTTGTTTTAAAATCAGCCAAATAAAAAATAAAAAAAAAATTAAATAAAAATAAAAAAATTAAAAAACACATCAAATTACATTCTTACATAAAAAAAAAATGTCATAAAATAATAATAATAATAAAAGTGAGTGTAAAACTTAAAACAAAACTAATTAAAAAAATTAATTAATTAAATTATTAAAATAACGTTCCTGCAAAAAAAATTTTTTTTTTCTTTTGCTTTCTTCTCGTTAAAATAATTATTTCGGAATTGAATAAATTTATTTATGGGATTCCCCACCGAGATCAAACAACAATTTAAACATCAGAGTTTTATAATTAATTAATAGCAATAATAATAATAAATTTATTATTTCTTTAATATATATTATTAATTTATTTCTAAAGCTAAAAGCTACATTTTACATAGAAAAAAAAAAAAAAAAAAAAAAATTACATTAGTATTATTATTATTATTATAATAATGACGGATTTTTTTTACGAGGATACACCACCAAAATGTCTATTTCCTATGTGTTTTTTTAATGTGCTGTTTCTCGTCGTACGTATGGGACAATGAGGACATTGAAATTGAGGTTGTTTTCCACATTCAAATTTAACGTGTCTTATAAGTGACCTTTTGACCCCATACACTTTTCCACATTTATGACAAGGATATTTTAATTTAAAATTTTTCCGAAAACGACGGAAAGGTTCGTCGATAAATTTTTTTTCCCATCGTCGTCGTTTCCTAAAAAAAAAAAAAAAAAAAAATTATTACGTATTAATAATAATTCTCACAAACAAATCCATTACAAATTTACATGAAAACGCGCCATTTTGAAAAATAAAATAAAATAAAACATAAACTTACAGTATCGTCGGTAATATCATCGTTAAAAAACAAATAAATAAATAAAAAAACAATAAAACGATTTGAAAAGTATTTAAAAAAAAAAAAATAATAATAATAATATTTATAAATAAATAAAAAAAAATCTTTTTGCTGTCATTCGTTTCGTCGTTAATTTTCCAGATAACACAAAAATTTTCATTTTTCAAACAATTTTCCGGCTCCTATCACGTGACTTATTTCAATTTGAAATTCTTTTATTATTATTATTATTATGTAACCGCATAAACAAACAGTTATTCTTGATTACAACGGTGTGAGAACCCTACAAAAAAAAAGAAAAAAAATATGTTAGTATAACGAAATTAAATAATAATAAATAAATAAATAAATAAATAAATAAATAAATTTTTTTGGGTGTAAATAAATAAATAAATAAATATAAACAACATCATTTAAAATTTTTTTTTTTTTTTTTTCAAAATTATATATTTTTTTTTTTTAAATAATTTTTTTTTTTTTTTTCTTTTTACACTCGCACAAAAATAAATTAATCATTAATTATTAATAATAAATTATTATCATTATTATTACAATTAAATCGTTTGTTTTACATTTAATAAAAAAAGTTATTTTAATTTGAGCATTTTTTTTAAAAGGAACACCCAATTTTTTTTTTTTATTTTTTCCCTTTCATTTACAAATCTAAACACAAATTCAAATTATTATCATTATTATTATTATAACGAAAAC